ACGCACAATTTTCGAAAGCAATTTGGTTAACTGTCCTCACTGTTAGAAAGTTTCTCCTTAATCCCAGGTTGCTTCTCTCCTTAGTTAATTTCTATCCGTTATTTCTTCTGCCTTCAGATGCTTTCAAGAATAGCTTGACTCCCTCTTTTCTGTGACAGCCCCTCAGATATTGGAACACTGCTATCATGTCACCCCTAATCCTTTTCACTAAAGTAGACGTTCATACCCAATTCCTGCAATCGCATGTTTTAGCTTCCAGGCCCTTACGTCAACTCGTAAATCATTCCTATGCCTGTTTTCGAGTTGCCATAAGAAAGAGTTGAGGGAAAGGCCTGAGGGAGCAGTGAAGCAGATGAAGGCCAGAAGCACATTCCACGCTTATCTTGCAGAGATTGTAGCCTAGGCTACTGGATCTTCTTCCCAGGAAAATCTTTCATTGGAGAATGTGATTGATGACACTCATCCTGTGAACATGTTTGGGTTGGAGAATCTGATTTATGACACACCCGAGGGTTGGGGGGTGGGGGAAGCAGAGTCGTAGGTGATAGTAAATTACGTGTCTCTAGAGTTGGCTTCACAGGGTTAGTGATGGACATGTTGCTCCTAATAAATCTTTTGGATTCTTTTGAAGCTTGGCTCTTAGGGCAATCGTTGGAACCCTGACACTTTAATCATTGTTATTGCTCTTCTCTTCACTCTTTCCAGAGTCTCAACATCTTTTTTTTTTTTTAAATATCATGGTGACCAAAGTTTTGATGCAATATTCCAAGTAGGGTCTTACCAAGGCTTTGTAGAACAGTACTAGTATTCCATATCGTTGTGATTCTATCCCTCTATTAAGCTTCCGAAGAAATGTCAGACAACCGTTCCCCAGCTCTTGTTCAAAACTGGGGCGATTGTCAGTAATGAAGCCTCACAATGGAGTGGTTCATGCTGATGATAAAAATACTTCTCCAAACGCAACTGTTGGAGGGGGAAGGGATGGGAAGGAGGATGAGGCAGAGAAGAGCAGCTAAGATGATTAAAGGCCTGGAGACTCAAACATACGAAG